AAGATTATAGAATTAAACTAATAAATAAAAACAAGGATAATTGTGTGTTATTGTTGAGTAAATAACAGTGTGCTATTTAAAACTATTATTTTCTGCCTCGCTCATGAGAGCTGGCGAAATTACAGCCTCGTCTCCTGATTTTAATTTAACCATATATCGAGCCCGATTCTCGATTTCAAATGTGTGCTCTAAAATGATATTTACAAATGACTATTATCATTATTATAAGCAAGACAATAAATGGCAAAGATATGTAGAAAATAAACGTATTTAATATACATTCATAACCAACGTAAAGTGGGAGAAAATAAGTTTCTAGCTAAACGTAATTGAGAATGCAGTTTAGTTCTGTGGGAATGTAATTTTTAAGAGACAGGGTTGGATTTTTTTTGTTATGAATTTATGTTTCATCCAATCTCAGAGCTTGTTGACTTATCACAAGGTGTGTCGCAAAGTGGACAGGCGTCGTCACAACAATAGCTGGGGATTGTGGGTAGTGTAGTCTCTTTGGCGCTCCACATTTCAGAGAAAACAAGTTGTTTCTCAGGATTGAAGGGGAAAAACACAAAAGCATTGTACACAATTCAAACCTATCAATGTCGTTTAATTAACAAGGTAATCTGGTGTTTTTGAGTTGATGAGTAGTGGAGATATCACTGTCAAATCAATCGACAGTAAGGAGAATACTTACTTCCGGGTGTACAATTCTCTGTTATCCAATGGGAATGGACGCTCACATTGCCTTTAAGAGCTGCCGACATAAACGGGTGCGGTGCTTCCATGAGTGTCAAATACCGCCGCCGATGGGAATACATTGCAATCAGTTGAAAGCTCTTTGCGTCCGTTTATGAAGCTGAAGGAGCCTCGGCGCATCTTAACTGCACGCCATGGGACCCTGACCAAGTGTCGCTCCTGGACGTTTAGGGAGTGAGAGTGTGTTTGAAATACCGTGTGTGGGTAATATATGTTGTATGGAGTTCATTGGCAGTCTAAATATGGACTGTTTAAACTCAACCCAAGATCCCTTAGCAAATGTTTCTCCTCCTCAAGTTTATTTACATATCAATCATATTGAGAAACTTAACTTCATTCAAAAGGAAAGGACAGCTTTTTAAAAAACTGTAACACATTGTGTTTTAATATGCTGCTAAAAAATAATCCCCAGCAAATACAATAGAGAGAATATAAGTCTTCATTAAATGTTCACACTGGCATTAAACAAAACTACTGACTGACTGCTTTACCACTGTTTAACAGCCTTCCAGCACCGTTTACAGGATGCCGTAAACTTCTTTGAGACATGCACTCCGAACAAGGGGTGCCAGGACTTTTGTTTAGTTTTTGGGAGGAATGCAATGATGTCTGTTTTGTCTCTGGTAGCGTGCCTGTGCTGCCTGCTTTTGAGAAGCCACACATTATATTGGATTGTGTTCCCAGTTATCACACAGAGACAATGCAGAACCATTCATTAACTTCAATTCCTAGAGTTGTTAAATGATTCATAAAAAAGAGAGAAAATTGAGAAAATAAGAGACATTTTTTATTTAATAATGTGTGTATCTACTAGGAAAATGGTTTAATACCATTTTACGATTTGTAAGATAAAGAACAGTTTATCTTTCTTTACCCTATAGCATATATTTCAGAAATATTATCCCGCTGTATTCTAGGAATAGGAATGTATTACCATTTATCATGCAACAACAAAGTAAGACTGGCCAGAACATGTGGCGCAGTCTGGACTTTGCCGACATTATTTATCCAAAATCTTTCAAAATTATTCTTATTCCTCTCAATGTAACATATAGTAATACAAATACGCTTTGCAGATTCATACCAAGATCACTTTCTATCACAGACGGCTAACTTTCAACACAAGATGGCAATTTCAGTGCTTAGGCTATAACTCATTTTTGCTATTGTTAAGGTTATCTATTTCTTTATTTCACATTGATGTGTTATGTGGTGTGCCTTGTGATTTGTGTTGTTTTTCGAGTTTGTTCTGGGACCCCCTTGAAAGGGTTTTATCTTGATGCAATATATTTGCATTTGATAGACTCTATACAGAGTTTTACTGTGGCACTATATGCCATACATTTGACAAGATCAAACAAACAACAAGTACATACTCTCTTGTTTTCCATAACAATTACCAGGACCTGCCAACATTCTGCAATCCGGAAGCTACTAAAATTAGATGCTCCACACTCTTCTACCAAGGTTTTCAGTTCCAGGGAAGTGGCGGGTTAGCAGTGGTTTATGATTTCCTCCTCACACAGTGCTGTCCTTCACTCTGTCTCTCTTAATGCTTCCAGGAATCCTAAACAGAGCTACCAATGACAGCTGGTGAATGTGTCTCATCCTCGTTCTCTCCTTCTTCTCGCAGGTGGTGAAGATGATGATCATTGTTGTTGTGACTTTTGCCCTCTGCTGGCTGCCCTATCACACCTACTTCATTGTGATGGGTCTTAACAAGCGTCTGAGCAGGTGGAAGTACATCCAGCAGGTTTACCTTTCCGTGCTGTGGCTGGCAATGAGCTCCACCATGTACAACCCCATCATCTACTGCTGCCTCAACAGCAGGTGAGTAACAACCAAACTACCACTGACACCGCTACTACTGTACATCAAACAACAACAGTGGGATTTATTTGTGTTTGTTGATAAAACACATTTTCTTCACTGAGGGTAATACAGTTACAGTAAGTTCCTCTTGAGTTATATTAAGTGCTTTATATGTAAGATCAACGATATTCTGGTAATCTCATTGGATGGAAAACATAGAATCTCTCTAGTGATTAAATTGCCGTATTAATGAGTTGTTATGACAGTTTAAAAAAGGGGTTTAAGAAATTATATTGCTCTTAAAAATGTAATTATTTTTGTATCTCAAAGAATAATTGCCTTCTGAAAAAGCTCCAAGCCAGGATCACAAGTCTTGTCTCTTTACTGTGGAGCACACTCACCATAAATACTGCACTTCCACATCACATACTTGTATTTCATAACTAGCCAAATATTTAGACACGAGTTACTTACTACCTATTAAAAAGCTTCACTGGCACCTTAAATAGAATCTCTTGTCAGCTAACCTTTTGTGCAGTATTGTTTTGAACTATATTATATACAACTGGTTGCTTATTTAATTTTATATATCTCAAAATACCCACTTCACACATTTACTCACTTTTCTGCCCTGTGTTTTTCAACCCTTTCCCTCTCCCTATTTATGTGGCACCAGGTTTCGCGCTGGCTTCAAGCATGCATTTCGTTGGTGCCCTTTCATCAAGGTATCCAGCTACGATGAGTTGGAACTTCGCTCAACGCGGATGCACCCGACCCGCCAGAGCAGCATGTACACGCTGTCCAGAATGGATACCACTGTGGTGGTGGTTTACGACCCTGCCGAGGGCAATGGCGGCGGTTCTGGGAGGAAGCAATCCCTGTCTTCCAAGAAGCGAAGCTACATCACAGCACGCCACACAGAGATCACTGCAAGCAACGGGGGCAGTGTGCCAACGCAAAATGGAGGGGCTCTAAGCGCTCAACCTGAAGAGTTCTCTTGAAGTGTATTCCCACAAAAACACACACAAACATATGCATGTAAAAATGTACACACATCATGCTCCACACATTGTACATTCAGACGGTGCAGAGATTTTCGCTTAATTCGCATTGCTTGATTAGACTTAGAAGCATTGTATCAAAGCGTCTCCTTTAACCGCATGGATAAAGAGATTATTTAATACTGCACCTCGATGGATAATATTGATGTTTAAGCTTCTCTTGAGCATAGATGGATCGTTGAGCGGGTCAGCTTTAAATGAATGTTATAAGCAGTTTTTATTTAACAGTTACACAGCTCAATCAAGTCCCCATAAAGTGTTTTGCTACTTATTCTGCAGTAATTGGTGTCAGCCGATATCAAGGGTGAACCTGAAATATTTTTTATTATATGCTATTAGATTTGTTCCTACATAATGCCAAACAGACTTTGTCTATAATCCTGTTCTGTTGCCTAAGCCAACTGGGTTGTGTTTTGATTTGTTTTGTTTGTCAGCAGGACCACTAGTTAAAATGGAGCAGATTTCCATACAAAAGCAGATAACAAGTCTAATCTAATGTTTATATCATGTTTGGAGAGGAGGGCTGATGTGGAAATGGGGCCTGTTTAACAAAATCTCACAAAGGATTAGGCGCATTCACACCGCAGTACTTTTCCCACAAAGGTTCATGAGAACTTAGTTCATGAAAACTCTTTAGTACAGATCGCGTTCACACCGGAAAATAAGTTCCTGTGGGAAGGATTAGGCAACTTCACGGCGTATACTACCACCCGAAGTCCCCGGCCGGAAGTCCCCGGAGCTGGGGACTGGCTTCAGTAGAAGCTGCTGGGACTCCCAGCAGCTTCTACTGAAGCCTTCCGAGTAAATCGCCAGAACGCCGACACCTCCTCTCATCTCCACCGCTCCCATGTTTTCTTTTGTGTTGCCATAAGTTAGTCTCTCTGTGTTTGTGCGCTGGGCTAATGCTAATAATGCTAATGCAAGGATAATAAAATGGCGGCTTCACAAAACCTTTTGGGAGTTTCACGGGGCGTGGTTTGCATTCCGCCCAGCCAATCAGACATAGGAACCTTTTTCTCCCACGAAAGTCCCTGCTCTCTAGCAGGGACGGAAAAGGGGGTAAAAAAGGTTGTGATTAACTAATTTTAGTTCCGGCTCTTTTTGGTGTGAACGGGACATTTCGGAACTATATCGGAACTAAAGTACTGCGGTGTGAACGTGCCTATTGTCCTTTGCAAATTCCAGATAAATGTATTTTAGGGGCTTTCAATCCTCATACAGGGCTTGGAATAGGGTGTTTGTTGTGATTAATGATACGTCTTAAAATTTGCAGGAAAGGAAAGAATCTAATTTTACAAATTGCGGTTTGGTGACAAAGGCCTCTTCTCTTATCACCTCTGCATTAAAGCTAGAGTTGGCAATTAGTTTCAAAAGCACGTTTTGTCCTATTAGTCAAATGTACATCCCGACATCAATCCATCAATCACATGCTCTGACAAAAAATTAAAATGTTTATGAGCAGCCCCATCAAATAATTTGATTAGACCTCAACTTTAACTTTATTGTATCTGAGGGGAAATTTATCTTGCAACCAGGAATACAGAGATATGCACACAGCTTCACAAAACTTGATAAAATAAATGGATTCAAGGATTCAAGGATACATGAATACATGCTCTACACTCATCTACCCAATCTCTCATGAACTCAAACTCCAGAGGTGGTCTTGCAATGCATGTTCATGAATTGTATCTTTAGATGGAGGCATGAAGGGATATTTTTCCAACTTATTTTTTCCAACAGTTTTTTTCCCACAGTTGCCTACTCTAGCTTTAATCTAATACTGCAATGATCTGCTCCATTGCAACACATTGAGTTAATTCTGCTCTGATTGAAATTAGCATAGTTACAGTCAGTGCACTGCTGTTTCGTAATGTTCTCTGCACGGTTTAAATGATTGTTAGAGAATCAATCAGGTCTGCTTGGATCTTCACTGCTAGGACTGTAAAACCATCACGTAATGGAGATAATCTGAAAATATGCCATGGTGATTGTAACTATGTAAGTATGTCAAAGTTTTCATGTAACTACACTCTCAACGTTATGTGATGCAAAGGATGCACTCTGCATTCATGTCCCCCTGAAGCCATAAATGAGCAGAAATGGAGTTGCTGTCACTCCATTAGGCTCTATGTGTGGCTTTGAGTCTGACTCTGAAAGCATTGAAATTGTGCTTGGCTTCCAGTTATGTAACGGTTGTAAATAACATGTTTCCTGTAACTAGCAACAAGCCAGAGGCAAAATCCAATTTGCAGCATGTCAATAAAAACAGGGTGCTGCAAAATTAGCAGATTGAAAGCGTACCAACCAACTTCAGACCAGCGGTTCAATGTCTCTCATATTGACATTTGCAACCAAGGGAATGAGAACATAAAGGAAGCTGCAGAGTGAAGTGCAACCTTCATTTGAATGTTCCATAATGTTCTTTTCAATGCCTCCGCACAATGTGTAATGAGGGTCTTTTGTTATTGTTGGTATTGACTCTTTTTTCAACTCCCTGCTTGTGCGCACATCAATTGTTGAATCTGCACCAAGCAATCACTAGCCTGTGCCATGTTGGGTTTACAATATAAGTGGAACCATACTGTGACAGGTTTATATAAACCATACTGTAGCAGACACGTGTTTTTATTATTTGTTTAGGTTTAGTGCTCATTGCAGTGAAATCTAAATTTGGAGTTGTGTCATTTGTATTTTAAAGTTGTTAATAATGTTAAAAAATAGCAAAAGGGTTCCAGACATTGATTTTGGAAAATTAAAGCTTACATCTTCTAGATTGAAAAATAAATTTCGAGAGCACATTCTAAATGTCCTTAGTTATTCTAACCAACAGTTATGAATGTTAGAAGACATCTTGAAAGTATTTACTCAAGAATGTGAAAAAAAAAAGTTGTGCATTTCAGTGCGATGTATTTTTATGCTGTCGTCTAATAATTATATTTAATTTGAAGTTTGAATATTTGTATGTGGTAATCAATATAATGTTTTGGTTCTTTGTATACATATGTGTCTTTTGTATGAATATACAGTACAATCTGTGCCTATTTATGTGAAGAAGTAAGTAACCATATTGTTTGTGGTGTTGTTAAAGGATCATTTGTTCATTCCGACCTGAGTCTACATTTTTGTTTCTTCGCACCACAAAAACCATTATGACGTTGTGATAACTTCACTACATTCACTTGTTCAACTTACTTAACTACTACTGTCACTGCTTTTATTATTGTTTGTCCTTTAAACTAATTATTCTTACATTATTATTGCTGGCAAATGAAATTTATTTTGGTAATTTGAGACGATTATAGGATCTCTTTGTTATGTGATACTAAGTGACTCTACAAGTCTATACCATGTTTCTTATATTGAGACGTCTGAAAGGTGATTAATTGCTCTGCATTGGTCAGTGATGATGTATTTGTTTATTTGTAGCTTCATTGCAACTCTCTTCTTTATAGTAACAATAGTGTTATTAAGTGACATGTCATGATTATGAATAAATGTAGCTGTTAGTAGTCCAATTCAATCAATGAAAGGATTATTTGAAAACTGAGCAAAATAGTGTTGTCTGTTGTCTGAAACAATGCAGTTTACTGTAGTAATCCGCAACTTTTAAATATCTCAATTCCTTATATTTCTCAATTTTGTTCCATGCAGCAACAAATATTCAACCCTTAGGGAGCAACCTGCTTTTATGAAGGACAATGTTTTCTTGCAGTTACCTCTACCACATCTCATAATTACCTGTTCATGTAAGCTTTAAGATGTTGTTATAATGAGATATTTACCCTGTAATGGCAATGTCCTTCCATATCTACTTCTTTCCAGATTGTTGAACATTTACATATATTACCTGCAAACAGGAAATTCTTATATTGAAAACCCACATCCATACAAAAACTAATCTTCTATTAGCAACATGTGTTGATATGAGAATTAAAGGAGAAAGTAAATTATGAATTTCCACTACAGCCTTTGAGATTCAAAACCCAACAAAATATGTAAGTATGTATAATCTTAAACATAAATCAATATATATAGGCACAGTCACTGTAAAGCGCAGATTGAACTGCGGTCATTCTGTTATTTTTAGTCCCTTTAACCACAACACAAAAACTTGTGCTCCATTTTAGGAGTGCAGTCATGCCATTGAAATGCAGTGCAAAGTCAACTCATCAACATAATTGAGATCAACTCAAATGTTGCGGATTATAACATTAAATTGACTTTATGAAATTCTTAATATGTGTTGTTGTCTCTGTCTTGCTTTAAAAAATGGATTAATAAACTATTCTTACTGCTACACAGAGTAAAATCATGTTCATGCAGAGGGGGTTCGGTTCCAGTCTGTCATGTATTGCTTGTATCATAAAAGTAGGCAGTCTGTTACGATCTGAAGTTTTACATTTAAAACAAACATGTAAACAGCTTCCGTGACAACCAGTTCATGGCATATGATATGCTAAAGGATATACACGGTTAGGATCAATCCTTTAAAAATACATCAAGGCAAAATGGTAACATCTCTTCACTGCACAGTGAGTACCTTTGACTCATTTGACATGAAGGAGCAGCATGTAACGGTTCTGGAAATATCACTGTAGTCTAATGGTAATCTGAAACTAATGTTCCTTTAAAAAAAAACATTAACTTCTATCATCACAAATAATTTGTTTTGTAAAAGAAAAGAAAAATGTGGGAAGTTCAGACCTGATCCTCTCAGATTCTAATTGTAGAATATACGGTACATATACAATGCTGGAATATTCATTCCTGAAGCACATAAAGTTTGCTAAATTATTCATCCCAGCTGTATTAGACTATTATTTTACTCTAGAGCGGTGAGCACAGCTAAATAAGGCAATAGGTATGCAGCAGCGTGTCTCTGCTGTTCAACATTGCTTTTCAGTCTTTTCTCGCAGTTCATCACTCAGGATTTCTTTCTATATTGCATTTGAATTTTTAATTGGTGGATAAAGA